TCACTGCACAGCTGAGTAGTGGACGGCTCAAAAATGTATATAATTCGTATATTTTTCTTGGGAAAAAATATCTTTTTGAAATGAATTTCGTTTGGTATAATTTGTGTTTTAATTTAAATATAAATTATTGGTCAGTTATCTACTATATAAAAAAGAAGAACGTATAACACTTGAGGTGAAATGCTTCAAAACAAGTCTGCTATATGCTTCAGCGCCAAAACGCGATCTGGTTTGTTAAATAAAATAATAATCTAGCCTAAATAAAATTAAACTGAAATATTCAGAGTTTCAGAGACGCCTATGTTAAGCTGTTTGAGTGTTAATGACAGACAGACCGACACACTCACACATAAACACACAACCACGTCGGTGCAGTAGTGGTTAGCGCATAGACATATGGTGCAGTAGCACGTCAGGGCGTCCCGTGTTCGAATCCCGGCTCGAGGACATTTCCCCACCCCCTCACTCTCTCTCCAACTTTGCTTCCGGTCTAAATACTGTCCTATCTAAAAAAGGCCAAAAATAAATCTTAAAAAAATAAATAAATAAACACACAACCACACACACACTACACTCGCGCAAAAACACACACATGCACACACAGACACTCAGACAAATAGATGCACACACATAAACACACACACACATAGATTATACCTGCAAACATGAACATATCTGCATGGGCTTTGATTTCCTCATTCGTCAGGCCTTCACCTTTATCATCCTGGAAGAAGAGCACACACACACACACACACACACACACTGCTCATAGTTCTGTCAGCTCTGAGAATCAGAGTGAAACTGAAGATATATATATATACACACACTGTAGGCTATGGAGACAGATAAGACTCAAAAGTAATTCACGCAAAAGACACGATGTACACATGCGTAGCCAAATTCACACGCATAAAACCAAATTCACGTGCGTAAAATATTTATTTATATTCACAAAAAATGTTCACGTGCTCAAAATTAAAATACATTTTCATAAAATATGTTTCACAAATGCAAAATACCATTTGCAAATGTATAGGAGTGTACAAAAAGTTTTAAATGTTTAAAACTTGCGAGTTCATCATGAATGAGAATGTGCAAATCCTCTTTCACGTACGGCTCCCCCTGGATACGTGTGTGTGTATTATTGAGACTTTCCTGCCAGAGTCAAGGCAACTCGTACCTTTCAGCCAATCAGAGGAGAGCTGTAGTCAAGGACACCCACTCTGCGCTCTATTTGCGCAGACTGTTCCTCTCCAGCATGGCCAACGGAGAATGCAGCAGTCGCACTTTTTTTCATTTATTTAATTATTTG